CTGGTGTTTCCACATGAATCTCACCCACATCGTTTTAATCAGCTTTCATACTGTTACAAGATGAAGTATTCCCCCCCACCTCCCATACATACACCATATTATTGTGTGTGGACCTCTGCAATCATCAAGCACACATTGAACAGGAGGTGACATGCAATTCACAGTGTTCTGAAAGTGTCTGCAACCGGGTCCCATTCAGCCCAGGTTGTGATATGGAGGTGTGTGGGACTGAAATGAAAAGTCCCTCAGTTTTGCAAAAGAAGGAGACAGAACACTCATTCATGGTCCTCAAGCTAACCGTGTCAGAGATCAAGATCTGACAATAAAAGGTGAATTGTATTAATAACCCTTCCTTGGTCTTCTCCAGCATGTTGGCAGACACTAGCTCTGTACACTGATACAAACACTAAGGACTACAAAATGTCCTGAAAACCAAAACTGTACATACTGTAAACCACACTAAACCATACTAAAGAACTAAAGAGCTGCACAAGGAGCCGTCTTACTGCTACAGCAAGAGCCTGCTCTTAGCACCTGTCAGTAGGACAAATCGAAATTTTAAACCCTGTTCATATTATATTTTCTGGGGTTTTTATTTTTTTCTGTGGAATGTTTGATATTCTATGTCATAGCTGTGGTAGCTGAAGCTTTCCATCAGTGGTCAGCTGTTTGTGCCTAGATCATCAGTACCTGAATTCTCAGCTACATGCTCTGTAATGTAATATCCACACTGACCCTCCTAGCAGATCCACTGCTGGCCACCTGTTGTTGCTCTTTCACAGACAGGAACAATGGGGATTAATGTTGGTATTTTTAGTGTGCAGTGTTCCTATTTACACACTGTCTGCAGAGGAACATTAGAATTGAAATTTAACAGCATCAGAACAAAGAAAATTTTACAAAAGAGGAGAGGTCATTTGTCCCATCACATAACCCCCTTCAACTGCTTTACTGACCCAGCAGTTGATTCCACCAGGAATCACTGAAACTTTTATACACTGTGGTGTGGAAGGCATCCAAGTTTCATGCCTGGTTCATAAACTTCTATAAAGCCCTTTCCCTTTTACAGCAATTTGACAGAAAATCTTTGATCACATTTTGTTTGCATTTTCTAGCCCATCAGATACACATAGCTGTGCCAAAGTGCTTCCAATCCCAAAATGTGCTTTGATGTATTTTAAATCTCAATAACCATGTTGATATTAAAGAAAGAGTTAAAAAAAACAAACACCCTGCCTGTAATTGACTGGCTCTAAACCACTGTTGCATTAAGACGCTGGTCAGAACAGGAAGAGTGTTGCTATTCTTTGTATAATTGTTTGGATTGCACTTTTATCCAGAGCACAATATTTGTACTGTATCCCTTTGTACAGCTGGACATTTTAAGGTGTCCAAGGGAAGCATCTTGCTCAAGGGTGCCCATATCACCCTGCAACTCACAACTGGCAACCCACTGAAGCTAAGCAGGTGTGAGCCTGGTCAGTACCTGGATGGGAGACCTCCTGGGAAAAACTAAGGTTGCTGCTGGAAGAGGTGTTAGTGGGGCCAGCAGGGGGCGCTCACCCTGCGGTCCATGTGGGTCCTAATGCCCCAGTATAGTGACGGGGACACTATACTGTAAACAGGCGCCGTCCTTCGGATGAGACGTAAAACCGAGGTCCTGACTCTCTGTGGTCATTAAAAATCCCAGGGCGCTTCTCGAAAAGAGTAGGGGTGTAACCCCGGTGTCCTGGCCAAATTTCCCCCCTGGCCTTTACCCCATCATGGCCTCCTAATAATCCCCCTCTATGAATTGGCTACATTACTCTGCTCTCCTCCCCACTGATAGCTGATGTGTGGTGAGCGTTCTGGTGCACTATGGTGGATGCTGCACATTGGTGGTGGTGGAGGGGAGACCCCATTACCTGTAAAGCGCTTTGAGTGGAGTGTCCAGAAAAGCGCTATATAAGTGTAAGCAATTATTATTATTATTATAGCTGTGTCTCACCTGGGATTTGAACTCATGACCATCCAGGTACAAGACCTGATGCTCAGGTCATACTCTTTTAGGGTGCTGGCAGCCATCTTTGTTAGGAAAACAAATAGTTAAGTGTGCCATGCATTTCTTTGCACTTTTACTGTGGCCTGTTGTGCCAGTCAGGTATAATCTTATATTTTTTTACTTTATCCTATTATGGGGAAGATTACTATGCTGTGGAGCACAACTCCAGTCAACAATGGCAACTTAGTCCAATGGAGCTCACATGCCTCCTTAACTTGTGAGTGGCAAAGGATCTTTGTCAGTTGGATCCCATTATGTAGGCACTACGTTAAACTGGGTACTTACGAACTCAGGTGAAATGAACATTCAGACACAGAGGGAGCAGTGTTGTGCACCTGTGGTGCAACATGTGTATGCACAATACTAGTGAGCACACTGGCCCCTTCAGAGAAAGGGGAATGTGTGTGTGGTGAAGACTTGGAGACCTGGGCTTGCATATCATCTAGGAATCAGAGCGGTAGCTTCATCACTACCTTCTATTTACAATGCATAATGCTAGTATGCCCAGCATGTGGAGAGGCCAGGAAAGGGCACTGTATTTCTGAGCAGAAGAGGAAAACATTCCAGTAAAGCAAAGACCCTTTGACAGTTAACAACAGTTACTAAATTGCACATGCATATTCAGTGACCCTGAATGATGTCTGGTGACAACGATCCAGAGTTTAATAAACCCACATTTCTGCCCTTTCTTGTCAGAGCAAACCTCTCCACCCCCACTCTGGCACTTCTCAGGAACCTCTTAGATCGTTTAAGGGTTGGTCTAATTGGGTCTGGAGTGACTGTTGTGCCCAGCAGAGGGAGACGGTTTTCCTGTGCCTTTTGCCCTCCTCTCCCCTTTTTTTCACTGCATGCATTAAGTAATCCTGAATGCTGACTGGTTCTGCCTCCTCAATATTGCACATGACCTTTCCATTCGCCTCCTTTCTGGGCTCAGTGCTGTGTTACAGTCTGGGAGACGGGTCTGCAGCTTCATGACAACACCAACCTCTCTCACCAGTAAAGCCTCAGTGCAGAGCCCTGTTAGCCACTTCAGATTAAATTATTTTATTGCATTTTCTTTTGGATTCTTGTAGTTTCTACAGTATTCCCTGCCCAGGTTTAAATTTCTAATCAAAGACATATATACAGTACGTTTTTTATTCCCAGCTGAAGGAAAGAAATCCCCAAGGCTGACTGAACTGCAGAATAACATTTTGATTTCAGACTCTCCTTAATCTTTATTTAATGGAGTCAAAGAGGTGTAATTGGGTGAGAGATGAAAGCAATTTACTCCAAGGCAGGTCACTGTATTCCTAAAGGAAAAGACAAAGCACATTTTAACAGGTAAATAGCACGAAATTTTTTACTGGATGGGTACATTTAAAGCTGCGCTATAAAGAGCTTTGATGTAATTTATTTCTAGTTCTCTACCAGTATGATTTCTCCCCCCATTTCTTCAATCAAAACGTTGCTGAAAGACATCTCGCAGTAAAAGGTTTTGAAGATGTATCCCCCACAGAGTTTGAAACTGAACACAGTTGTCGATGTGTTCCTGGCAAATTGACTTTGGAAGCAACAGTGCAAACTGGAAACAATGTAGACAGCATTGTTCTCAGGGAAATAACTCCTACTGCGCACTTTAACCCTCAGCTTCACGGGGGGAACACCCTGCAGCTATGCTAACAGCAAAGAATGATGGACAGTGAGTTTTATTTCTCTGCTACTGGAGCCATTTTCGATATTAGTAGGTGAAGAAGTAAAACATTCTTCTATATACAACTGACTACAATTAATTAAACCAGATTAAAATTTGTTGTGTAAAGGAAGGTTTTAAGACAGAGCCTAGCCTCTAATATGGGGTTGAAGGCTGGCCTGACAACATGGTTTCCCAGGATTTGTAGGTTTGGGTATTACTAAGATCTCCCACAGAATACTGTGCACCACTGTGGTTGCCACATTACAAACAGACTGATTCAATTTCTTAAATTGGTTTATTCAGTTAATTCATGATCTCAAAGGACTGTGCCGCATGCTCAGGACACACTCAGTTTAAAACTGAACTCTCTTTATTCTTCAACCCCTTAGCTGGTGAGGGGACTTGATGTAAGTATTCAAAGTCCAGAACTGTATTAACAAGCTCACAGGAAGTCTTTATGGTCAATGGTGAACAGGGGGCACAAGTGGAGAATAAGAGGAAATGTATTTTAAGGTGAGAATAGGAGAAGTGTTCTTTACACAGAGACTTGAAGGAGTCTGGAACACGGTTCCACGGTTTTTAAAGCTGATTCAAGACAGAGCTGGATGACATCCTTGGGCAAGCTAGCTGTTAGTACCCAAGGAAGCAGGAAGGACAGAATGGCTCACTTGTAAATTATCTTGTATTAAAAAGTTTGCGTCACTGGTAATGTGACTGGGAACTGAGCCGCAACTCTCCGCTTTATGCAAAGCAGTGCACCTAAACATCGGTAAACAAACCCGGCAACCTCTTAAGCATGTCAAGGCTATCTGAAGACTGAGACTCCCACTGGTCTGTACCTGGTCTTAGTAACCAGGCTTACATGCTCATTATGTATTTGTAATGGTGCATGTGCCTTTTAAATGCCTGTCTGTTTAGTTGTGTAAAATCTCTTGTAACAGCAATACTCAATGTTCCCAATTGACAGCACCACTTTTTCTGAGATTGTGTTGGCTTGTCCTGAAATGGAAAGAGACCTGTTCTTTCACAAGTAGTCAGAGCTGCTAATTCAACACCTTCCAGAGGCAGCAAATAAAAACTCAACACATTCACCTCACAGGCAGAAAGCCCTGCAGTATTATCTCTACAGAGTGAGAAGTACTTTCAGCACTGTGTAGGGCTGGTTAAAAGAGGCTGTCTGTTCCTCCCCTGTCATTGGCTGTTGCTATAACAATAGAGGTGGGGAGGGAAGCAGGAAGGCGGGGACAAGCTCTGATTATAAAATACTTCAGTGAAACACATTTGTTGTTTTTTTTAGTCAGAACTGTGCACATGAAGAGGACGGCTGCTTCTGACCACGGCCACAGAAAGGACCCTTAACTCACATCTCCTGCCAACAGCAGACCTAATCATTAGTCTACACTGGGGATTATATTTCTTAGTGCTTATCAAGAGAGACCTGGAGCTGAAGGAGTAGGGCTCCTGTTCTCACTGCTATCTTCCCTCTTGTAAGTATTAAAGCCCTGCTTGCTGTCTCTGTTAAACATCTGTATGTGATTAGAAAACTAGAAACAGTCACATTACTGCCCCTACAGGTGTGTGTTGTGTTTCTGTTCCAGGCCAAAGTATATCCAAAATATATCTGTGTACAAGGGAGATACAGGATTGTGGTTTAGGGGATGGTGTGCAAAGCAACAGTATGTTCAGTAGCTCAGTGGCTGGAGTGCTGCACTGCAGTGTGTGCACTGCTGGAGTGCAGGTGTTCAGTGGTTCAGTGTTTTCAGAGTGCTGGGCTGCAGTGCGTTCAGT